GGATACCTGAGTCCACTCATGCCTCTTGATGCAAAGTTCTGTTGGCTTCAATAAAAAGTAGAGTACAGAATTCGATGTATCTGTGGGCTTTCTTTTCAGGCAAACACAGGATAATTGCTTGCTATTTCAAATGTTTGACACATACTGTTTAGCTTTAATGATGTTCCAAGGGACTGTTATTAAATCTACATGATAAATACATGACCATGAGCGTGAGTCGAAACGGATCCCAGCACAAAGGGATGAAGTAAGCAAGCTTCCTTCCCTCCTCCTTTCCTTCTTTTCCACCTTCTTTTTTTTTTTTTAAGAAAATATTTTATTGATTCGTTAAATGGCCTCATTCAGGCATTTAAGGCCTGTGTAGTTCTCTTTGGCATATATACCCTAAAACCTCATTCATGGGCCTCATGTTCACCCGGCTCTTTGTTCTGGAGTTGTGTTGTGTTTTTCCTTTATCCTCTGATTCTCAAGTTACTTCCTTTTTGATTCTAGGCACAGAGTAGATGCTCTGCTCATTTTGATTAAATTTTGAGTGAAACCGTCCAAGCTAGCAGATATTCTCATGTAGCTCTTGGAGAACATTCAAAGAGTAGTTACATGGATTCAGATATTTTCCAGGGAGTAGCAGTCTCTCTCTTTCCTGAACTCCAGTGCAGTTTATCTGTCCCTTTCTTCCTGTGTGGTTTATCTGTCCCTTTCTTTGATGGTTTTCTATGGGCATGCCTTTGTTTTTCCATTAGATTTCAAATGCCTGGTGGCCACAGCATCTCCCTAGCATTCCTTAGTTTCTCAGAGAATTTCTTTTATTTTTTTATGAATAAATAATATTTATTTCTGGTGGCATTTTTTAGAGCAAATACAAGTCTGTAGCTTCACTATTGTCTATTTTAGTCACACACAGTGACATTCTAAATGAACTTAGTTAGCCCTTGGAGTTTAGGAGTCAAGTCCTTAATTTACACTAGCACTTGCAAAAGAGATGAGTTGCAGCAGGGGAAATTTTGATTACTTTTGTCTCTGTGACTCTCCATTCTCAAGCATCGGTGGACCGAAAGGCTTGGGTTTTGCCGCCTTCTCCCTGGTCTTACTCTGAAATCCTGTCGTGTGGAAACCCTGTCTGCCAGTGTCCTACAGCGCGCTCAGTATGCCCCCTCCGTATCCCCACCACCTTGTTGAAGGACACACCCTGACCGAGGCCAGTGGTTCTCAAACTGACGCAAGCATCCCAGTCCCTGGAGCTTGTGAGAGTATACGGATGCCACACGCCTTCCAGAACATTCTGAATCTGGAGGTTCAGGATGGTGGTGGGCTTCTGTGGTTATGACACTCTCTGGTGGCCCTGGAACCACTTTTTAAAGAAATGCTGCCATTGAGCCAGAGATTTGTTTTGAATGGAATTCTGTGATTTTTAAAATGAGGATTCTTCTCAAAGTTGTGAGGCATTCATTCTAAATGTGTTTAAAAACTGTGTTATAGGCATGTTTATGAATCTTTTTTATTTCTTTTTTTATAGGTTTCAGGTGTAGAAAACAACATAATAATTAGACATCTACACTCCTCGTAAAGTGATAACCCCCCTAATCTACTACCCTTCTGACATTGTATATAGCTGTTACAATACCATTGACTCTATTCCCAATGCTGAACTTTACATCTTATGACCATATATATGTATGACACACACACACACACACACACACACACACACACACACATATATATATAAATTATAGTTGACATTCAATATTATTGTACTTCAGTCAGCTTCAGATGTACAGTGCAGTGGCCAGGCATCTACACAATCTATGAAGTGATCCCCCTGCTAAGTCTAATACCCACCTGACAGCCTATATAATCTTTACAACATTATTGATTATATGTAGTTCACATCCCTGTGACTATTTTGTGACTACCATGTTGTACTTTCTAATTTCTTCCCCTTATTCCCCATCCCCACCCCCTCCCATCCAGCAACCATCAATTTTTTCTCTATATCTCATAGTCTATTTCTGTTGTTTGCTCATTTATTCTGTTCTTTAGATTCCACATATAAGTGAGAGCGTATGGTATTTGTCTTTCTCCTATGAATTCTTATTTCACACTGCAGAATCAGTATGATTTACATGGCACTGCAGATGTAATTATATAACACTTTCTTTGCTGCAGTTTTATTGGTCTAGTGTATATTAACATGCCATTTAAACACAATCTTTATTTGTTAAAAACTCCCATTTATCAGGAGTGAGAACAAACAAAACTCAAATTGCAATATTTTTTGCTGTTAATTTCTGCATGCACAATATTTATCTCTATTTGATCTCACATTTTAATGTGTGACCTTTGATTGGAGAAAGATTTCAGGATATTTAGAAGATGCAATCTAATGTACCTTTAGTAATGGTCAGTGTTTGATGGCACGAATATTGATCCTGAAACTAGACAGAGCACTGAATTTGTTAATTACCAAAAAGAGTTTAAGGATTAATTTCTGCATCAAATGTTTTTTATGAATGCTGTTTCTCTGAAAATAAAAATTAATTGAAAGTACACGGTCATGCAAGCTTTTATTAATTCCAGCTACATATAAATAAATGATGTATTTTAGTGAGGCCATCATGACAATGTATCAATATTCAGTATGAGAGGCCCCACCCCCTTTATTATTTATTTATGTATTTTTACTTTTTGCAAATGCTCCTTTTATAAGATGGGTCTAGCATTCTTTAGCCTTGTGATGCACTGAAAAGTTGGAAATTAGGAAAATTATTGTGAAACTCAACTTACACATTTACAGGTGATCAGAATTCCTTAATGCCTCAATCTACTGTTTCTTATTTTTTTTAGGGACTTCCTTCCTCGAGGGTCAGGCATCGTAACGAGACGGCCTCTCGTGCTACAGCTTGTTACTTCCAAAGCAGGTAATGAGTGAGGATGTTTGCCATTTGGAGACCATCCCTTGTACCTGTTGCCTCCATTCCTGAGTGTTGGGCTGTAGTCACAGAAATGTTTTTGCAATCACTTTGTTGCGGGTAGCCACCTACGTTTCTCTCCAAATGCTCCCTCCTCCTCGCTCTTTTAATTCCTTTGATTGCATTAAAGGGAAAGCCTTGTTTGCATATATTTTTAAACACCTGCTATTTTTTATGCTTAGGAAATATCATTTTGTCATTCTAATTCATCCATATAATTTTACAGAGCTGCATAACCACTAATATCNATTAATCTATATGAAAGCTGGTGGCACCTGGAGTGGTGATTGAAATGGAGAAGAGAGGGTACCCTTCAGGGCTATTATGGAGGTGGAGTCAGTAGGACCTGCTGACTGAGGCGCAGCATGAAGACCGGGAAGATGGAGGGCGGGTAATCCCCAGGTGCTTGGCTTGGCTGACAGGTATGGAAGCCGATGACGTGGATTGTGACTGAGAATGAAGGAGGAGAAACGTGTTGGATAGTTGATAATGAACTGAATAGTAGAAATTGGGCTTGAGACATCTAAGTAGAGATGTCTAAAGGCTAGTGTGACTTTGGGGAGACCTCTGACGTCTGGTGCACGGCTTATCTCTCTGAGGGCCCCTCTCAATCCCTCGGTTCTGCTTCTTTCCAGTGCCCATTACGTGGTGGTATTTTTCAGTCTGTATTCATCACCTTTCTCTTCCCCGTTCCTACTCATCTATCCTCAACTACCTGCTCTGTTGATGACTCAAATTATTATCTCCAGGCAGGACTTTTATCCTGCGTTCCAATTGCCCAGTCTAACTGTGGACTTCTTGTCACCATCTGGGTGTTTCTTCTCCAGGCACCTAAAGATCAACATATCTGAATATGTTCCCTCATCTTCTTCCCCCATCTGTTTTGCAATGTATCATAGTCTAATGGCCAAGGGCACAGATGCTAGAGTTAGCCTCTCTAGGCTTGAGTCCTAGACCTGTCACTCATTAGCTTTGTCGCCTTAAGAAAATTATGTGACCTTCCTGTGCCTCAGTGTCCTCATCTGTAAAGTGAGAATAACAATAGAACCTACCTCATAGGGTTGTTATCGGGGTCAAATAAGAATGCGCCTGGCACATGGTGAACACTATATAAGTATCAGCTAGAGCCAGATTTTCCTGGATTTCCCATTCTGGTTAATGGCACCACTATTTAACCAGGAATGTAAGATTTACCCGTGTCATTTCATTCCACATCAAGCAGCCATGGAGTCCCATCAATTTTCCATTCTCTCTGTTGTTTTCTCTCCATCTCCACCATTACCACCTTGGACTTAACCTTTATCATCTTCCTCGAGGGCCTACATTGGTGAGTGACTAGTCCTGCCTTTTGTCTTGCCTTTTGCAACATTTTCTATATTGTCCCCTAGTGACTCTTCTGAAATGCAAATCTGACCACTTAAAACTCTTCAGTTCTCATAGGAATTAAAAAATACAAGTGAAGGTCTGCTCCCGCCCCCCTCTCCAGACCCTCCTCCACCTCATTTTGACCTTCCATCCATCGGTACTTGGTTCCTTCATGTTCTGTGTTACTTTGGTGTGCCACGTCTTTGCACATCCTGATCCGCTGTGGAATGCCTCCCACCTCATGTCTCTCTGCGTCCTGTGGAAATAGTTTCGGGCAAGCCCCCCAAGCAGAACAGATTCACCCCTGCCCTGGGTCAGTACTTCAGGAACTTAACCGTCGTGCCTGTCACGCCTCCTGGAATCACTGGCATGTCATTCTTCTCGAAGACCAAGCTTATTGATCTTTGAATGAACCGCTACACAAATTAAGTTCTTGGAGAGTATGGTTCATGCCTCCTGTGTTTAGTCAAGGGCAGATGTTAGACATTCATTTACTGAACAGATCATCTGGTCCACGACCGTTTATGCCTATATTGAAGAAAAACATTGCTGTAGTTACTTTATTTATGCTAAGGGGCAAAATTCCTTTGAGCGTTGTTGGTAGAGCAAGTGCACACTCCCATTTCAGCCTGTCAAAGGTCAGTCGTTTCCTAGCGAAGCAGTGACAGTATTTCCTGGTAACTAATTTCCTGGAAGAGCCAATAAATATTACCAAGACGGCCCTTAGACCGTCGCGTGAGAAATGCTCTCTACTTGTTGTGCAGGCGTCAGGAAACCCTGAAAGAGCACCGACGTATTGCCTGAAGCCCAGCTGTTTGCTAAGACTGCACGGTCATGCTTTTTGGACGTGGACTGGGAGAGAAGAAAGGCATTGGAGTTGTAGCCGCTGTGTACAGAGAGAAAAGGGCTCTTCCTGCCTTAAAATCTGTACGCTCCGCTCATAAATAAGGCCTGCGGGCAGTGGAATGGAGTCAGCTTCATCATGGGCAGTCTTCACATTACGCTTCTTACTCTTTACCTGGAAGGCCCGTTGTGGAAGAAAATGGCATACAGATTTGATTTTTTACATATGTATTCGACCATAAGCAATATGTGTTTTAAATACAAAGTAATACTGAAGGCACAGTCAGGAGTTTGAATGCATTGATTTAGCAAAGTAATTTTCCCATTAGATATACTTGTGGAAAAAACCCAACCACCTATTGCACAGAAAATAATGAAATTCTAATGGATGATTGCACTCAATGGCTACTGAATGATTCATGAGTGTTTGTGTGGGTGCCTGATTCCCCGTTGATGGAGGCAGGAATGAGNGCAGGAGGCTGTGCCAGTGTTCTGTCTGTAAGGACGAGACGGGTACAGGAGGGCTTTACTTTGGGGAAGGGCTTCTGTGGGAGGGAGTCAATACAGAAGTCTGAAATTAGTGTGATGTCGCCTGGGAACCAGGTGTCTGGGAATGAAAGGTTGACGGGGGAATAATGGATGGGGCCTCCAGAGTGTAAGGGCGGGGCGGGATCCCAGAACCCACTTAAATCTCGCCTTGATACTTGGGGTATCAGATCCCCACGCTTTTTAAATATACCGTGTGGCCATGGCTCTATGTTCTGTTTTAGTGGCGAAACTAACCTGTTCTTCTTTGGCTTCCAATTAAATACCTACGCTTGATTTTTCTTGCACCCTTTTAGATCAAGTAAAAACAGAAGAGCACAGTATTGGGTAGGAGGCTTTCTTCTACTTGTATCCATGTTCTTCCCTTCCAGCCCCCTGCCAAGAAACTGGTAATGGACATTCAGGACCAAGGACAGTAATTGGGCCGTTCTCCCAGGCAGGCCTCACTTAGGGAAGAGTTGGCCAGCCTATGCTCCTCAGTGGATACGTGTTCTCCTGATCTGGCTTCTTCTCACTTGGTGGGACCGCCCACACACGGGCCTTTCCTTGCCAAAGAGCAAAGGCCTGAGAGTCATGCATGGGCTTCATGGAAGATGGGGGAGGGAGGCCTTCCACCGTCATCGGTGCTAGCCTCCAGCCTGCCAAAGGTGCCATGTTTCCGGGGTTGGCAGGGGGACGTGTTGGGCTTTGAGGCAAAAGCCACCTGACCTTGTCCTTTCCACATCCATCCCCGTTAGAAACCCTGCAGGGAGACATGGCTAGTAGGACCGAATGTTTAGTATCCCGGCTTCTCTCATTCACCTATTCTCAAGGAGGGCGATATTGTCCCCAACGGGGAAAAATTGATTGAAGGGGGATAAGAAACCCTTACTCTTTTTGTGTATAAAGCACAGATGCATGCACAGTACTGACATACAGTGAACCTGTGTTTTTAAATTTAATAGGGGGGAACGTAACAGGGTGAAATGTCTATCCAAGTTCTGTGGGCGGCACTAATAAAAAGAAGTTTGGAAAACACTGTTCTAAAGCATAGCGTGTCTGTCTCTTTTTCTTTCTCGCTGTCTCAGGCAGTACAAGCTGGTGCAGTGCCTCGGAACGCCACCTCTGCCTTAGAGTCTGTCTTGTCTTGCTCTGCCATCCTTAGCCCTTCGCTCCCCTCTTCCTGGTTGCCCTGTGGTTGAAGATGCTGCACTCCGCGGCCGCGTGTAACTGACCAGGGAGAAGAGGGCAGGGCAAAGGGGACGCCAGCTAAGTCAGACCCCTTTAAGGGAAATACCCTTGATGTCACTCAACAACCTCTAATTACACCTGACCGACTAACACTTAGCCACGCGGACACCCCATTTGCAAGGGAGGCTGGGAAATGCAGGTTGATTTATTTGCCTGTTTATCTATTAAAGTTAGGCACATTGCCATTCCCAACAAAATTGGGGTTCTGTTAATAAGAAATAAGGGGGAAATGGATACCTGGTCGGCAACTAGCAGTCTCTGTACATAGTCTCTTTTGTCATTGATGTGTGTGACAGCTACCCACGGGTAAAGTGTAATCTGTGATTTGGAATACAGCGCCGGCTAAGTGTCTCTGCTTTATGCTGCGACTCATTAATCCGATGCTTTGATTCTTGAATGAACTGACTTTGTGAATAAGCAAATGAAATGGATTAAATAGGGAGGCGTGAAGTTCTCAAGAGTGATCCTGGTGGGCAGAACACATGGTATTCGTAAACTTTTTCACTCAGTTTACAGATCTCTGACCCAGAAACGTTTGCATTTTTAACGTGGCCGTGGGAGCATTAATAGTTGATTAATTAGGTTTAAGGAAGCCATATTGCTTAGAAACTTTGAGCTTTGTGAATAAAAGGTAAATACTGAAATTTCTTAGATGTTAGCACAAAAATACAAATAAAAAAAAAGCATGTCGTTCCTGCAATTAGATTTGTAGCTATGATTTTCAAATGAAATGATGGTGGCATTTACTGAATACTTTAAATGATAGAGTAGCTGATAACAGCAAAATGGGATCTGTTACAAATCTGTAAGTGCTGATATTCTCGTCCTGTGCCAAGATTGTAGGGGAAAGAAGAAGACTGCAGTGGAAAACTTCCAATGAAATCTGTGTGGATTTGGGCATAATTGCTTCCTTCAGCAGTTAGAGTGGCATTGTAATGGTCGGCAAGGCTCCGGGATTGGGACAC